TGCAGGAGACCGTCTCTAGCGCGCGTCTGGAAAGACAGACTGTTGGACAGACAGACAGACAGACAGATGGATGAAGCCATGGCTGTGGAGCTGCAGTCCGGACTGTGAAGTCACAGACCCAACAAGCCCTTCTTGTCCCTGGTCTCCGCCCAGTGCCTCCCTCTCCCCTGCAAGTCGTAACCAGTTGCTAGAGGTGGGTGGATGCCCTGGAGACTGCAGGGGAGGGCTCAGCAGGGAGGGTGCCAGGAGGGATTAGTAATGTCTGCCCCAGGCACCAAACTGGTGATGGGGCCGAGAGCTGGGAAGAAGAGGAAGCAGAATGACGGTGGGCAAAAAGACCTTGGCTGGAAAGAGGGGACTGTGGCTGATAGGTGGAGTGATGCCCTCACCCCAATTTCTTTTTTTGGCTTTTTTGGGGTCACACCTGACAATGCATGGGGATTACTCCTGGCTGTACACTCAGGAATTACTCCTGGTGGTGCTCGGGGGACCATATGGGATGCTGGGAATCGAACCCGGGTCGGCTGCGTGAAAGGCAAACGCCCCACCCGCTGTGCTATTGCTCCAACCCAGAAGGTGACATTCTATAGGGACAGGGTCCAAACAAGAGTGAGGGAGTCACATCGGAGAGAGTTGGAGGCTGAGTGGGTGGCTGGTGTGGGGGACAGTGAAGTATATGGCATGGGGCGCTAGACTCATCCCCCCCAACAGGACTCAGCCTTCCTTCTTGGCCACAACTAAGGTGGCATCTCCCCCGACCCACCTTGACATCAGTAAGACACCCCAACTGGTCTGTTTCCCACTAGCTAGATGGCCACCTGCATCCCCACCCCACCCCCCAGACCTTGAGACTCTGACATGTCACCAATGAATCAAGTGACAAGGTGGCCTCTAGTGTGGAGGGAAGGGGCCTGAGGTTCTGGAAGGTGACAGTAAGCAGAGGAGTTTTCTTGGGTTGGAGGGAACCATACTCCCCAGTGTTTGGGGCTTACTCCTACCAGGTTGCTCGGGGACCACGTGGTCCTGGGGATCAAACTCAGACCTTCCATGCGAAGCTCCAGTCTTCTTTGGGAGTGCACACCTCACAGTGCTCAGGGCTTACTCCTGGCTCTGCACTCAGGGATCACTCACTCCTGGTGCATTCAGCAAGGGGATTCTGTGGGGTTCCAGTGATGGACCCCGGTTTGGGTATGTGCAAGACAAAAGCCTTCCCCACGGTACTCAGGCACCCCAGCCCTGGTTTTATCGTCTGCACCCCGTATACTTCCCCCAGAAATGCTGAGAATGGAGCCAAGAGTAAGCCCTGAAGGGCTGGAGTGATGGCAAAGCTGGGAGGGTGTTTGCCTTGCACGCGGCCGACCCGGGTTCGATTCCCAGCATCCCATATGGTCCCCCGAGCACCGCCAGGAGTAATTCCTGAGTGCAGAGCCAGGTGTAACCCCTGTGTATCGCTGGGTGTGACCCAAAAAGCAAAACACACACACATACACACACACACACACAAAACCACTATCTTCTCTCTCCCACCCCTTGTCATTTTCTTGGGGGGGAGGGTTCATACCTAGTTGTGCTCTGGGGCTAATCATGGCACTGTGCTTCAGGGTCCGAGGGGCTCAGGGGACCATGCCGTGCCAGGGACGGACCTTCCCCGGGCAGGGCCTGAACTCCTTGTCTGCCTGCAGATGTTTTAGGGAAAGGGTGTGTCCCAAGGAGAGCTGCCAAAGCCAGGGCCAGATGCGCAGGGACGCCTGGAGAGATAAGAACCGAGGTGCAGCCTTGAACAAAGGCTGGAGAGCTGGCCCAACTGGGGGGGCTGGGCTTCATCCCCAGCACTGCATGCTCCCTGGAGCATGCCAGCTGCACCCCCTCTCCAAACAAACCAACCAACCCAGGAGAAACTTCCCTGGGAACAGAAGCCAGGTGGCTGAGGTGGGGCAGACAGACGGGCCCCCCCTCCCCAGAGCCAGGGTGGAGAAGGCGGGTGGGAGAGGGCTAGAGGGAGGGGCCTGGCCTGGTCCAGGGGCAGGAGGGGGAGGGCTGGGAGTGTCCAGATGCTTTTGGGGAAATCAGGGACTTGGGCCAGCGAATGACAGCCTGCACCCAACCTGGACTGAAGGCAGAGGGAGTGCCTTGGGGGGCTGGGGGAGAATGGGGAGGGGCAGGGGCTGGGCAGGAAGAGGATATGGGGCTGGGGTGCCAAGTGCCTTCAGACCCTCTGCCCCCACCCCAAAGAGGGGAATGGCTGTGATGAGCAGCATCGCGCCTTTTTGTTTTTTTTTTTTGCTTTTTGGGTCACACTCAGCGATGCTCAGGAGCTACTGAATTAACCCGGAATTAACCCTGGCGGTGCTTGGGGGACCATACGGGATGCTGGGGATGGAACCCGTGTCGACAGCGGGCAAGGCAAACGCCCTACCTGCTATGCTATCGCTCCAGCCCCCCTCATTGGCGATTTTCAGTTTTTATCTTCTCTCTTGGTTTGGGGCGCTCCAGCCGAGTTGCTGCGGGGGTGGGGGGGCATGTCCAGGGGAGCAAGGGGGATGGAACCCAGGCCACTGTAGGTGCAGCTCAGCGGTCGCTCTCAGATGAGACCCTCCCCTCTCCCCGCCAGACCCATCAGGGGGAGAGAGAGAGACCATCGGGGTTCTCAGGGCTCCGCAGAGGGCTAGAAATGGACCTCGGGCCCTGGCCGGGATGAGGTCATCAGCACATTCCAGCCGCCTGGGGGCGTGGTCAGAGAACCGGGGCGCGGGGAAGCGGTCGGTAGCGGGCATCTGTTCCCCGAAACAGCTGGCCGTGGAGTTCAAGGGGGGTCATGAGGCCAGGGAAGCCCACTCGGGGGGGCGGGGTGGGGGGAAGGAAGCCCGGGGGCGGGGAGGAACCCCGTTTTCCTCCCCACCCCGCCCCCCGGCCGCCTGGCAAAGCCCGTTGGGCCACCGCCTCCTACTTGGCTGGCTCGGCCAACGCGGTCTCCTCCCCGGGAAAGTCCTGGCCTGCTCCTTTAAAGGACAAGTCCCCAGGCCCCGCTTCCCACCTGGGCCGCCTCCTCCTGCCCGGAGCGCCCCCTTCTGGCGGCGGGAGGGAAGGCAGGACCGCGCCGGAGCCTCTCCAAGGCGGGCGCAGCCGGCAGTGACATGCGTGTCTCCCGGGGGGAAAGCGCTCCCCGGGGCGCTACATTCAGAGGATTCCCACGTCGGCACGGGAATGATTGGACCGTGACGCGGCCGGATCAGAATTCCTCACCTGGCTCCGGCCGCCGTCGACCCCGCCCCGTGCAACCGCTCCAGCTGCACGCGGCATCTCGGCCCCGGGTTCCCCAGCTGTCCAGGCTGGGCTGCTCTCGCCCCAGCCTTGGTTCTGGGGGTGGCGTCTGCTGCGCCCCTCCCCAGATAGGACCCCCACCCCTTCTTCCGGATCCAGCAGCTAGGCCCCTAGGAGTCCATAAGCGTGTTCTCTCTCTCTCTCTCCACACACACACCTCCCACCTGGGTCACACCCAGCGATGCTCAGGGGCTACTCCTGGCTCTGCACTCAGCACTCAGGCATTACTCCTGGCAATGTTCGGGAACCATAGGGGATGCCGGGGATTGAACCCAGGTCAGCCGCGTGCAAGGCAAACGCCCTCCCCACTGCATTATCAACATTCTCATAACCTAAAAGCCGAGTCTCATAACCTAAAAGTCAGACGAGCCCCTCTCTTTACCTGATCTCCCCAGCCCCGAATCCGGGCTCTGACTCACTTCCTGCAGGTTCTCGAGGTTCCGGCGCCCCCTCCAGGCCACGTGTTCTCCCACCCCCCACATACACAGGCGGCCTCGAAGTCCTAGGGACTTCCTCCCTCACCTCCTGCACATCTTTTTGTTTTGTTTTTGTTTTTCGGGGCCATACCCGGCGGCGCTCAGGGCTAACTCCTGGCTCGGGGCTCAGGGATCACTCCTGCAGTGCTCGAGACTAGAATGTGGTGCTATGCATGGAACTGGGTGGCGATCGGGTTAGTGGTCGACCTGTTGGACTGACTCCTCCAGTCTCTCCGTTAACTCTTTTTGGTTTGTTTATGGGCCACACCCGGCGATGTTTAGGGGCTGCTTGTGGCTCAGCGATCGTACTTGGGGACGGCCGGGATCAAACCCGGGTGTCTGCGTGCAAGGCAAGCGCTCTACTCGCTGCACAGTCTCTCTGGCCCCTCTTCCGATAATTTCTTCTTCTTCTTTTTTTGCTTTTTGGGTTACACCAGACTTTGAACAGGGGTTACTCCTGACTCATGCACTCAGGAATTATTCTTGGCGGTGCTCAGGGGACCATATGGGATGCTGGGAATCGAACCCGGCTCGGCTGCGTGCAAGGCAAACGCCCTACCCGCTGTGCTATCGCTCCAGCCCTCTCCGGTAACTTCTGTTACAAGCCTGTCTCCCCGCTAAGCCCCAAGCGCTGGCCATCACGGGCATCTTGCACCTCCCCGCGCAGCCGGGGCTCAGCACGGTGTAGGTGTCGGGCAGCGTTTGCAGAGAGAGCGAATGAATGGAAGGCGAAAGAACGGTCACGTGCACGCACGGATAACGGGTTCTGCAGGGCCCCCGAAGCGTTCCGGATCTCCGAGTTGGGCACTTTTCCAAAGGTCTCCCCAGAGCGCCAGGACGGCCGGAGGGGGCCGTTCTTCTCCCCGAGGCCTTGACGCCTGGAGGGGGGCGTCGCCCGAGCCCGGCGGGGACGGCGCTGCCACTCATCCGGCTGCCGCCCCGCGGCGCGCGTCTCTCCCCGGCCCCCCCCCCACCCCGGGCCGGCTCCGCCGTTGCCGTGGCGACAGACGCCACCGGGCGCGGAGGGGCGGGCCCGGGAGTGACGTCATTCTCGGCGCGACGCGGCTCGGCGCCTCCCGCCTCTTTGGGGCTCGAGACCCTCCACCTGCGCGCCGGGCCGCGCGCGTCCCCGCCCCCGGCTCTGCGCCGGCGCCGTGCCCGCCAGGCAGCCCGCGAGGCGCATGCGCGCTGCGGGGCCCGCCGCCGCTCGGGAGTCGCCGCCGCCGCCGCCGCCGCCGTTGCCGCCTCCCCGCCGGCAAGTGCGTGAGAAGGAGCCGCCGCGGGCCGCCGCCGCCGCCGCCGTCGTCATGGGGGTGAGTGAAACCGGGGGGGAGCCCCGACGCCCCGGGGGGCCTTCCTTGCGCCCCCCGCGCCCCCATTGTTCCCCGAACCCCTGCTCACGTGACTCCGACCCCCGGCGGCCTCACGTGACCCCCCCGGGCCACACATGACTCCCCGGTTCGGCGGTGCCCACGCCGGGCCTGGCCGGGAGCCCCCCGCCGCGCCCCGCGGAGGCCCTCCCCCCCCCCGACCCCCATGCCCCGACTGTTACCCGCGTCCCACCTTCGGGGGCGCGCCCCGCCCGGAGCAGGGGGACCCCGCCAAGGTCACACCTGGGCCGGTCCCGGGGAGCCGACCCGGCCCGAGCTCCGGGGGCTGCTGCGGCCGAGCCGCCCGGGGGGCGTGTTTGGGCGGCCGCGCAGGTGCTTTTCGCGCTCCTGCCCGGCGCCCCGCGGCCCGAGCCGCTGGAAACTTTGATTTGCGGAACGGGAGGGAAGGGGAGCCCGGCGGGTTTAAGTCGTGCACCCCGGGGAGGGTGGAGAAACCTCCTTTCCTCTCTTCTTTTGGGGTTCGGGCCACACGCGATGATGCGCAGCCTGGTTCCTGCTCCGGCTCCGGGGCCCCTCCTAGCGGGACTGGGGTCAGCCTTTGGACAGGGGCCCCTGACCCTGTCTGCTGTCTTCCTGGCCCCTCCTTCTAGCTTTTTTTTTAAATTTTGGTTTTGGGGGTCACACCTCAGTGCTTAGGGGTTACCGCCTGACTCCGCGCAGGCACCACTCCTGGGAAGGTCGGGAGAACCATTTGGGGTGCTGGGGATTGAATCCCAGTTAGCCACGTGCAAGGCGCGCGCCCTACCAGCTATCTTATCGCCCCAGCCCGCCTTCTATCGCTCCTAGGCTCGGGCTGAGGGTGAGCACTCTGCATGGGGAGCAGCTGTTGGAGAGGGTGCCCGGTTGCACCCTGGCTGGCCTCCTGCCTCGCCCATTCTCAGCCCACCCTGCCGAGTGCCCCATCCCTGCAGCACCTGGTCACTAATTGGAGTGTCAGTTCCCTCCTGGAGATGCCCAAGTGAGGGGGCGGGGCCGGGGAGAGCCGCTGGCTTTGGGAGCAGCTGGTTCTGGCTCCCGCCTAAGCACCACCAGCAGTGACGGCCCCCAACGCGAAATAAATCCCCAGGTCTCCAGCATCCCCTGCCTAGCGCGGTGTGTTGGGGTCTTCGTGGAATTTCTGCCGCCTTGGGGAGTCCTGAATTGGGAACCGGTGTGCCTCTTCCCAGGTTCAGCCCTTCGCTGGCTTGTCTACCTTCTCTCCCTCTATTCTTTTTGTTGTTCGTTTTTTTTTTTTTGGACTCACCTGATGATGCTCAGGGCATCATCAGGTACTCCTGGGTCTGCACTCAGAAAGTCACTCCTCTCGGAGGTGTTAGGAGGACCATGTGGGGTACCAGGCAGATGCCCCACCCGCTTGTCTCTCCAGCCTCCCTCTCCCATCATTGCTCAGGGGCTACTCCTGGCTCTGTGCTCCGGGTGCCCGCTGCGTGTGAGCCTTATGTGTGGTGACTGGGGCCTTTCTGAACCGCGGTTTCCTCACCTGTGATGTTTTGGTTTTTTTTTGTTTTTGCTTTTTTTATTTTGCTTTTTGGGTCACACCCAGTGATGCTCAGGGGTTGCTCCTGGCTCTGCACTTAGGAATTACCCCTGGCGGTGCTCGGGGGACCATATGAGATGCTGGGAATCAAACCGGGTCGGCTGCGTGCAAGGCAAACGCCCTACCCGCTGTGCTCTCACTCCAGCCCCTGCTTTTGCTTTTTGAGTCACACCCGGCGATGCACAGGGGTTATTCCTGGCTCATTCACTCAGGAATTCCTCCTGGCGGTGCTCGGGGGACCATATGGGATGCTGGGAATCAAACCCGGGTTGGCCTCATGCAAGGCAAATGCCCTACCTGCTGTGCTATTGCTCCAGCACCCTCACCTGTGTGATGAGGGTGCAGTCTTCCCCTTCAGGGCGCAGAGGGTGACTTGCATGGTGGGTGTATAGGAACGTGCACTGTTGGGGGTGTGCCCCCCAAGTGACGTACACATCTAAGAATATACACCCAGGAACGCCCAAATCAAGAGTGCTTTTGCCAGGATTCTCAGGCAAATTGGTAGTTTTTAGTTATTTGCTTTGTCAGCCACCTATTCCCCCCCTTGCTGAGTAGTTCTTGACTGAACAAGCCGCCGTTAGCTAGCTGTGGAGTGGTTCTCCAGTCACCACATTCCATCACAGTTCATCAACAAACTGGTGCGCCCTTACAAGCATTGTAGTAAAGAAAGCAGTCTGATTTCAGAAAAGTAATAGAAAATATTTACCTAAACCACCAAAAAAGGGGATTTCAGATCCTCGGTACTTCACAGGCGGGGAGTAAATTTCGTGTCCTGGTGGCAGATTTCCTCTAGACTTGGGTGGAAGGTTCTGGAACCCAGCCTGGGTGTAAGAGGCTCACTGGGGTCTTCCCAGCAGGAGTCCCCACGGAGCAGGAGCCTGGAAGCAAATGGGCCCCACCGGTGCCTCAGGGCCTCGTTACTCAGAGCAGCTGGGGCCGCAGGGCCGGGCCTGCCCCTGCCTCATTTTTTTTTTTTTTTTTGCTTTTTGGGTCACACCCGGTCATGCACAGGGGTTACTCTTGGCTCTGCACTCAGGAATCACTCCTGGCGGTGCTTGAGGGACCATATGGAATGCAGGGAATCAAACCTGGGCCAGCCGTTTGCAAGGCAAACGCCCTCCCCACTGTACTAGCGCTTCAGCCCCTTGGCTGGGTTTCTGAGAGACCCGGTTACTCCCCCCCGCCCCCCCCTCCGGTGTGCCTGGGCCCACCTTGGTCCTCTGGTGGGCAGCCTGACTGCAGCCCGGCACCCCCCACGCATGTTGCCTTTGTGTTTCTGGGTCTCCGTCCCCTCCCCCAGCTCTGCTGGGGGCTCCTCCCCGAGTGTGCAGGGATCGCGGGCCTGGCTCTCCAGCCCATGCTGGTGGTCTTTCAGAAGGCAAAGTGGGGTTTCCCCACAAACTGGCTCTCCCTGACCCTGGAGACTGCGTGGGATGGAGACATCCACACACCAAATCCAAGCGATTGTCAGGTTCTTGTTCCTTTGGGGGTGGGCTCACACCTAGCCGTGCTCAGGCTCTGCTCCGGGATCTGTTCTGGTGGGGCCCGGGGAATCCTCTGGGGCGGCAGGGACTGAATTTGGGTCGGTTGCGTTCAAGGGACGCGCCCTTCCTGCTGTGCTCTCTCTGGCGCCCCGCATTTGCTTTTTAATTTCTCTGTGAGATCCAGGGCAGGGTGGGCTCCTTTGCGGGGGTGGTGCCGTGGCTGGGACGGTACCAAGTGTGTGTGAAGTGGCTGTCACGGCGCAGGCGCATGGGCCACCCAAGCTGGACTCTCAGATGAGTCTCTCGGCGGGCATGAGCACAGGCGTGGCTGTGTACTGCTCTGTGGGTACAGGGGACAGTCCCTGCCCCTGGTGTGAGTGGAGGGAGGGGCGGAGACGGGAAGCCACCCTCCGAGAAGCCGGGAGAGCGCTGCAGCATTTCCCCTTCAGAGACGGGCGCAGGAAGCTGGCCGACCATCCGGAGGGGCCCGAGAGCCAATACAGTGGGCATGTAGGGCTTTTGCCTCGCGCGTCTCATCTGGGTTTGATCCCCAGCACCCCGTATGTTCTCCTGAGCACTGCCGGCTGTGGCCCAAAACAGAGAATTGCCATATTCTGTCTGAGACCCCGGGGATGGAACCAGGGCCTCACTCCCAAGGCGTGCTCTGCCCCAAGCCCCTTCCTGGCTGGAGGGCGGCAGGCCAGCCTCCCCGGCACCCCTGGCAGGTGGGAGAGAGGGGTGGGGGTGGTCGCTCTCGGCCTGGCTGAGCCGACCCTGTCACATCCTGACACGTGTGTGCTGTCCGGGGCACCGCTGGAGCCCCTGTCCCCGCAGTGCTTAGGAGCTGGGGTGTCAGTTTGGGACCGCATCTAGGGTGCCCCGGGGCTGTGCCCTACTCAGTGCTGGTGGGGTCTCTCCTGTCTGTGCCTGGGGACCACAAGGCCTCCTGCCTGCCGAGCCTGAGCTGGGCCGGATGAGCTGAGCGCACTGGGGCCTCTGAGGGTGAGGGGGCGGTGGAGCAGGACCCGGGCCACGCGCTGAGAGCCGTCGGCACCTGCCCAGTCCCATGGATACTGAGTGGAAGAGCAGAGACGCGAGTCCAGGTCTCCGGGTTCCAAATCCTATACCACAGCCTCCAACGCCCCTGCACCCCCCGCCCCCCGGGAAGGCACCAGGAGCGCTTCCACCAGGTGGGCAGCCTAACTGCACGGTAGGGGTGTCCCAGTGCTCCTGGGTGCTGGGTTTAGGGGAGCCCCGAGCCTCTGGCCAGCGTGCTGCTACCCCCAGCTTCCTGCGCAGGCCGCAAGCACGTCAAGGGCTACTAGCTGCCGCCACCCCAGCACCCTATGAGAGGGAGCCCCTAAATCTCTGGACTCCGTGGGCGCTTGGTCCTGCACAGGCTCCCGAGAGGGCCGCCCGGGAGGCCGCACCCTTCGTCGGCAGGCTGGTCGAGCTGTCCCCGTCCTTCTGGGGAGGAGCCCGGGCCACGCCAGCAGGTGTCGGCATGCTCACTCGTCGCGTGCCCCGGCCATCTGCCCTCAGGATGGGGTGACGGAAATAGCTGAGCGTCCCCCTGAGGGCTCTGAGGACTCCTAGGTCCCATCTGGGCAGGGTGAAAGGTTGGACCCCAATGGAGAGTGGGTGGGCGCCCCCAGCTGGCGGGGGAAGGCCCTGCCGCCCAGCCCCCCACGCTCCCCAGGTGTGGCGGCGTGTGCCCCTGGGCCAGGGGACAGAGCTGGTCATCCACCCCCGCGACTGCTCCCTTGGCCCTCGGCCCTGGCCGCGCAATGAGCAGGGTCCGCGCTGGGGCAGGAGTCAGTCCCAGTTGTGGGGCGACTCAGCCCCGGAAGCTGCCTCGAGGGGCTCTTGCCTCGACTGCTGCTCAGCCAAGTCTGTGCCTCTTGGGTGGGGGGACAAGGGGTGGGCTGTTCCCGAGGCACTTTCACAGCCGCCGGCTGGCCTCGGGGGGTGGGGGCCAGGCTGCTGGAAGGCAAGGCCACCCCACCAGTGGTTTGGGGTGTGCTCTGGGCCCTGGTGCCGTGTCGTGGGCAGCTTGTGTGACGCGAGGGGGAGAGAGGTGGCAGCCTGGCGAAGCGTGTCCCTGCTTCCTTTGTTGTTATTATATTTTTTAACCTTTTTGGGTCACACCTGGTGATGCTCAGGGCTTACTTTTGAGTCTGCACTCAGGAATCACTCCTGACGGTGCTTGGGGGGACCCTGTGGGGTGCCGGCGATCAAACAAACCCGGTCAGCTATGTGCAGGGCAAGTGTCCTCCCCGCAGTCATCGCTCCGGCCCCTCCTGCTTCCCTCTGTCCACCTCTCGCCCGGGACTGCTGGAGTCTGCCCCCACGCAGCGCTCCTGTCATCAAACCGTTTCACTCTGCCGGCCCTGCGTGGGAAATGGTCCCTGATCCCTTGGAGCTCAGGCTGGAGGAAGGAACTGCTCTTTGCAGGGATGGAGCGTCGGTCCCATAGGCTACCCAGGACTCGCGGGAATCGCACCTTCCCTCAAGAAAACAGTTTCAGGAGACACTAGTGAAGTCAGATGAAATTTGTTGGGAAGTGAGGGGAGAAAGAGCTTGACGCCCGGAGCAAGCCCGGAAGGCTGCGTCCCATGGAGAGCAGCGCCCAGTGCCCAGGGGCAGGTGCCGCTGCCCACAGTGGGCAGTGCCCGCCTCGTTACAAAGTTGGCCCAGTTCGCTGCCCAGGGCCCAGGCTGGGGCGGCCGTCAGAGCTGAGAGCTGGGCAGGGTCTCCCTAAGCCTTTGCTGGGGGTGGGGCGGGGAGCCGCTCTCCCAGGGCCTCCAGCCATGCTCTGGGCCTGGGATTTTTTTTTTAAGACGTTTTATTGGGGACTGGAGTGATAGTACAGTGAGTAGGGCATTTGCCTTGCACGTGGCCGACCTGGGTTCGATTCCCAGAATCCCTTATGGTCCCCTGAGCACTGTCAGGAGTAATTCCTGAGTGCAGAGCCAAGAGTAACCTCCTGTGCATCGCCTGGTATGGCCCAAAAAGCAAAAAAAAAAAGTTTTATTGGATGGATCACTGTGAGGTACAGTTACAAACTTGCATGATTGCGTTTTCAGTCACACAATGCTGGAGCGCCCATCCCTCCACCCGTGCACATTTTCCACCACCGTTGTTCCCAGTGTCCCACCTGCCACCCCCACCCCACTCCCTGCTTCTGTGGCAGGTACGATCCTCCTTACTCTGTAATTTTGGGCATTATGGTTTGCAGTAGAGATACTAAGAGGTCATCGTGTTTGGTCCTTGGTCTACTGTCAGCGCACATCTCCCATCCTGGGCGATCCCTCCAATCATCATTTAGTGGTTCCTTCTCCGCGTCGCAACTGCCTTTTCCCCCAGCACGCAGGGCCGGCTTCCAAACCATGGTGTGACCCTCCTGTGGGCCTGGGATTCTTCCTCTTCACGGTTTCCTGTCCCCCTCACCTGTGGCCTTCGTTGGGACTTTGCCCGTCCACCTGCAGCCGTGTGTGGGCACCTGCCCCGAGCCCCTGGGAGGGAGACCAGGAGCGCCCGTTCCCCGCACAGGCCACGCCGCCCGCCCCAGGTGGCCCCGCAGAGGAGCCCCCAGGAGCAAACGCAGAGAGGGTTCGGGCAGCTGACGGGTTCCAGAGCCCTCCCGGGGCCCTCGCTGTGCGCATTTTCCAGGGTGACAAAGGGTGCCTTTACTGTGGCGGGGGTCCCGCCTCGGCCGGGTGGTTCCGTGCTCTGACCCCATGATACTGATGAGGGAACTCGGGGCCTTGCACCCCTCGGCAGGCGCGCCGGCCTGTCCTGCCAGACTCGGAACCATCTTGCCCCCCCCAGACTTCCCCACTGTCCGAGGGTCCGTCTGCCTGCTTCCCCAGGCCCTCAGGTGTCCCGCCTCTTCCGGGTGGTGCCCAGGAGCTCTTGGCTGGGGTGCGGCCCCTGCCATGCCTCTTGGGGGGTCTGCTGCTGTAGCCTTGCCCGCCCGCCAGCTTTGCTTTCCCTCTTGCAGAGGAAGTCGAGCAAAGGCAAGGAGAAGAAGCAGAAGCGACTGGAGGAGCGAGCAGCCATGGACGCCGTCTGTGCCAAAGTGGAAGCCGCCAACAGGGTGACTCCCTGCCCCCGCCCCGAGCAAAGCTGGGGGTGATCGCGGTTCTTCCAGCGCCACCGTGTGGCCAACTTGAGTTCCTACAGGGATGGGGGGGGTGGCCAGGTGTGCAGGAAATGTGGGTGAGCCTCCGCTCTGGGGGTCTCTTCCCTCACAGTGATGCAGGTTTGGGGACAGTACATTGGGGGTTTGTCTTGGGGAGAGGAAAACTCCCTCGTAAAATGTTTTCTCTCCCAGGGCGGTGCAGTGGGTGTAGTGGGGAGGAAAAACCCGATTTGTCTCGGCTCTGGAGAGAGAGTTCACGTCGGGTTAGACGCTGCCCTGTGTGGGGCTGGCCCTGGTTGGTCCCTAGCTCTGCGTATGGTCCCCTGAACACCACCAGGAGTGATTCCTGAGCGCTGCCGGGTGTGGCCCCCAAACCACTCCTAGGACCAGAGAGATTATTAAAGCAGGTAGGCGCCAGCCTTGCACACGGCTGATCAGGTTCAATCCCCGGCATCCCTTATGGTTCCCCGAGCACCGCCAGGAGTAATTCTTGAGAGCAGAGCCAGGAGTAACCCCTGAGCATTACCAGGTGTGACCCAAAAAGCAAAACACTCCTGCAACTCCAGAGATTCTGACCTCTCATGGGCCTGTGGCCGTCTCCTCCCTCTGATTCCCCCGCCCCAGCTCCTGTGGGTAAGGATGGAGGACAGGGCGGGACCTGTTTCTCTGTGTGTGTTGCAGGGGCCGCACCTGGCGGTGCTCAGGGGTTACTCCTGGCTCTGCACTCAGGAATCACTCCTGGTGGTGCTGGGGGATTGTATGGGATGCCGGGGATTGAACCCAGGCCCAGGCCGGCTGTGTGCAAGGCAGGTCCCCTGCCAGCTGTGCTGTCTCTCTGGCCTCTTTCTTTTCGGTTTGACCAGGCGAGGGTCACTGGGGGCTTCGGAGAAGCCCACAAGTGCTTGGGCTCTGGGGGCCCGTACCCGCTCGTTTGAGTTTGGCTCTTTCCCAGAGCCGCCCCCTCCATGTGACGCATCACAGAGAAGGCCTGTGGGACCCCCAGAGTGGGCGACCAGACCACGCCACCTGGGGCACCTGTGACTCCTTCCTTCCTGTCTGCAGCTTGGAGACCCCTTGGAGGCCTTTCCCGTCTTCAAGAAGTACGACCGCAACGGGTGAGCGCACTGCAGGCCCCACCCCTGCCTCCAGGGGAAGGCCTAGAGCTGGGATGCTTCCTCTCTCCTTGTGGGGAAACTGAGGCTCACAGAAGGTGACGCTGGAGGGGACAGCACAGGGAGCTTCCGTTTATGGCCCGACCGCATGTGGCCTGGAACCGGCAGGTGCCGAGCCTTGGGAGCTGCCAGTTTCGCTGAGGGGGCGGGTCAAAGGTGAGATCAGGCTCCGCCCCTCTTGTGCTGAGCACTGGATCGGAGCCCCTACTGCCCTCCTGTTCTCTCAGTTGGTAGCGCCTTGTCTGCCTGAGCTGTTGCAGTTTCCAGGCACTCGGTCCCTCTGGGCTCTGCGATGCCCTCTGTGATGCCCTCGGGCAAGTCCCTGGCCTACCAGTAGGTGGGACTGTGGCGGGCGGGTAGACAGATGCGCACACAGATGTCGGTATCAGCACCCTCTGCCCTGTGTCACTGCGCCGTCCCCTGTCCTTCCTGTTCTGCCTCAGACGAGGCGCAGCACAGTGCTCGAGCTTGCCCGTCACCCCTGACACTGGGCAGGCGTCCCCTCCTTCCCCAGGGGCTGTTCTAGGTGCGTGTGTGTCACCCACAAGTACCTGAAGAACTTGGATCACTGAAGAATCAAGTCGAGAGTGATAGCTCAGTGGGGAGGGCATTTGCTTTGCGCACGGGTTGGAGCCCCGACATCCCATAGGGTCCCCCCAGCACCGCCAGGTGTAATTCCTGAAGCAGAGCCAGGAGTAAACCCCTGAGCATCACAAGGTGTGGCCCGAAAGCCAAACAAAAAGCATCACCTCCCACAGACTGACCTCGGGAAGTTCCCCTCAGGCCTGTGCGGTGTGGTGTGGGCGTCTGCCCTGACAGGGTCAGTGCTGAGGGGCCTTCGCGAGGCTGCACCCGGTGACAGCCAGTGTGCTGTCTGGCCGGGGTGGGGGGTGCATGCGTGGCCAGCAGGTACAGGAGGCCGTGGCAGCGGTGACCCTTCCCAGCCATGGCCTAGGAGGACGGTGGCGGTGGCCTCAGGCCCCTTTGGGCTCTGGAAGGGCCTTGGCAGGTGAGGTGCAGGGGAGAGGGGTCCTGGGGACCCAGTGAGAGTCCCCGTACGCGTGACGCGCCCGTGTGGGAAACAGGAGCCTCACAGCCCAGAGGGGTGCGGAGGAAAGGGGGGCCCAAGGGACGGGGGGTGTGGGCGGTTCCCGGCCCTCCCAGAAGCCCGTCTGCCGTGGCCTGCACCGGGCCTGCGGCCGTCTGAAGGTCATGTCCCCCCTCCTCAGGTTAAATGTCTCTATCGAGTGCAAGCGCGTGTCCGGCCTGGAGCCCGCCACGTTGGACTGGGCCTTCGGCCTCACCAAGACCAACATGCAGTCCATGTAAGCGGGGGTGCGCCCGCAGTCGGGGGGCTCCGCACCCTGGTCCCTGACGCCCCACGTCCCCAGGTATGAGCAAAGCGAGTGGGGCTGGAAGGACCGCGAGAAGCGGGAGGAGATGACGGACGACCGCGCCTGGTACCTCATAGCTTGGGAGAGCAGCTCCGCCCCCGTGGCCTTCTCCCACTTCCGCTTCGACGTGGAGTGCGGGGATGAAGTCCTGTACTGGTAGGCACCACTGCTGGGCCAGGCCAGGGCGGGGGTGGGCTGTGGTGGGGACCCTTGCGGCCTCGTCTCATCGCCGACCCCCTCCCTGCTTATGTTTCCCGGCACTGGAGCCATAGTACAGCGGGGAGGGCATTTGCCTTGCACGCAGCCAGCCGGGGTTCGATTCCCAGCATCCCATATGGTCCCCCGAGCACCGCCAGGAGGAATTCGTGAGTGCAGAGCCAGGAGCAACCCCTGAGCATCACTGGGTAGCACTGTAGCGTTGTCCTCCCGTTGTTCATTGATTTGCTTGAGCGGGCCCAGTAACGGCTCCATTGTGAGACTTCTTGTTACTGTGTTTGGCATATCGAATACGTCACGGGGAGCTTGCCAGGCTCTGCCGTGCGGGCGAGATACTCTCAGTAGCTTGCCGGATTCTCCGAGAGGGGCAGAAGAATCGAACTCAGGTCAGCCAGGTTGGCTGCATGCAAGGCAAATGCCTTACCCGCTGTGCTATTGCTCCAGTGCATCGCTGGGTGTGCCCCAAAAAGCTTAAAAAAAAAAAATGACACTCTTGCGTCTGTCTCCCAGCTACGAGGTGCAGCTGGAGAGCAGGGTGCGGCGGAAAGGCCTGGGCAAGTTCCTCATCCAGATCCTGCAGCTCATGGCCAACAGGTGAGACCCCTCTACACACACCCCCGCCGGGTGTCCCCGGCCATCCTGCCCTTCTCTGTCCACGGCTGGGGGCCGGGGCGGGCTCGTTCTCAGGCTGGCAGCCCCTGGTGCGGGGCCGCAACTCGGGCGTGTTTCTGCTTCTGGAATTTTCCCTCTGCTTCTCCCCAGCACCCAGATGAAGAAGGTGATGCTCACGGTGTTCAAGCACAACCACGGTGCCTACCAGTTCTTCCGAGAGGCGCTGCAGTAAGGCCGGGCCCGGGGCCGGGGGGTCGGCAGGGCCCCCCTGGCGGGGACCCGCCCTGGGATCCGCCTCTCTGCCCCTCGCAGGTTCGAGATTGACGACTCGTCCCCCAGCATGTCGGGGTGCTGCGGGGAGGACTGCTCCTACGAGATCCTGAGCCGGAGGACCAAGTTTGGGGACAGCCAGCACTCCCACGCGGGCGGGCACTGCGGGGGCTGCTGCCACTGAGCCCCTCCTTGCCCTGCACGCCCTGCTGCCCCCCTTGCGGGCCTCTGCAGGTGGGGTGGGGCCAGGGGCTGCCGGCCCCGCTCCTCTGCAGCTGACCCCTTCCACCCTGGCCCCGGCTGGCTCTTGGGGGCAAAGGGACCTGGTGTGACATCAGGGCACAGCCAGATGCCCGAGGCCAGGCTCGGGGGACGGTGCTGCTGGCGACCCTGGTCAGCGGGGCTGCATCGGCCAGGGACCGCCGGACCTGTGGGGGCTTCTCGGCTCCTGGGGGAGCACCTCTGCGTGGCTCTGGGCTCCGGCACTCGCATCCTCGCGGGATTCGCGGACAGAGGGCCTGTCCCCGCCCACAGTGCCTGTCCCGTGCCTCTGCGGTACCTCGTCTCCCTCCAGGGGGATGGCGCCAGGGAGCCCTCTCCCGCCCCCATCCATCCCATCTCGGTGCTGACTGCTCTCTGCAGGGGTCCCCGCCCGCTGTCCTCCCCCCGCCCCCCGCTGCCTCCATGCGGCCCTGCATAGCTGCCTTCCTGGGCCCTGGCGAGGCCAGCCGGGGAGAGGCTCACTCAGGGACTGCGCAGGCTCAGAACCCACCTCCTGCCATCCGGGCCCCTCCTCACCAGGGACAAAGCCACCACCTTGGACCCTGGAGAGACTGTGACCTTCCAGCCGGGACCTGGTGACGCAGTGCCGGGAGGCCCCTAGGTCCTGCGCTTCCTGGTGTCCTCTGTCCTGAGCCACAAGCCCGCTGCCCCCTGGGCTCCGAGTTTGCCATCCAGGGGACGCCTGGCGGCTCTGCCCAGACCTGGTCCTAACCTCCGGGGTACCTGACAGGGGTTGACAGGCCCCTTCCCAGGATCTCGGGGACCGGGAGAGTGTTCGTGGGTCCTGCCTCTCAGGACACCGGGGTGCAGGGGCAGTTACTGTCCTGGGTGTGAGTTTTTTACACCCGCCCCCCCCCCCACTCAGGACCAATGGGCACCCCAGTGTATGCCCCACAGCCCCTAACTCCTGGCACCCACTGACCCCCCCACCCTGCCCTGGACTCTGAGAAGAGCGGCCGCTGCAGCTGGCTCTCGACTGTGGGGGGGCGCATGTTAAACTATTTTTTTAAAGGTTTTAGTTGACTCCACCCTTCAGGTTATTTTTATTGATGTCAGATCTGTATGTGACGTGTATGGTTTTTTTAGCCCTTTTTCTTTTTTTTTTTTTTTTAGAGGAAACTTTGGAGATGAACCTGTTGATATTATTTTTTTTTTCTTTAGAGTTATCACTGGAATCAAAGGGAATTATGATCTCTTTTGCATTGGATGTATTTGTATGTCACAAATAAAAGCCACTTTGTTCAACTGTGAGAATGGCCGCCTGACCCCGGGAGCTGTAGGTCCTGGGTCCGTCCAGCTGTGAGTGCCCTGTGCCCCTTCCTAGGGAGACCCCAGTGTTGCGGTGATGACGTCGGGTGTTGGTGCCACTTTGGAAATCCTGGGCCTCTGCCCAAGATCTGTGGCTGCTTGCCCCAGGCCAGGCTGTGGCTCTCTTGGGGGGGGGATTGGGTGTCAGGGGTCTCATCCTGGGATCTGGGTGTCTGGTACTCACATGTCACCTGCCCGTTGGTCCAGGAGGCAACTGATTGTGCAGTGCAGACCCTTTGTGCTCTGGGTTTGGAACAAGCTCAGCCATGCCTAGGGATCACTCCTGGCTCTGTGCTTGGGGATCACTCCTCCCTTTGTGTTCAGGGATCTCTTGGCTCTGTGCTCAGGGGACCAGGAAGTGATTGAATATGGTCAGTGTGTGCAAGGCAACTATCTTAACTCCTGCATTGTCTGGCCAGTGTAAGGTCTTAGCTCTGCCACATTAAAAGGTGTGGGTGGGGCTGGAGCGATAGCACAGCGGTAGCGCGTTAGCCTTGCACGCGACCGCCCGGGTTTGATCCCCAGGCATCCCATAGGTCCCCCCAGCACCGCCAGGAGTCATTCCTGAGTGCAGAGCCAGGAGTAACCCTCGAGCATCGCTGGGTGTGACCCAAAGAAAAGCAAAAAAAAAAAAGAAGGTGTGGGTGTGGGTAGCTGCAGAGGGGGTCTTACGTGCTGGTCTCCTCCCCTACGCAGGCCTCCAGCTACGTGTCTGGAGTCTGGATGGGTCAGCAGTGGGGCCTGGGAAGGGGAGGCTGCTGTTGGGACCATGGCCAGCTCCTATCCTGGGACCGGGGATTCGCCCGGGGAAGGAGAGTCGGAAACGGCTGGTTTGGGACGTCCCACGTCAGGGAGAGGGCAGGGAGTGAGTGCAGGGGCTCAGGGGCTGCAGGGAACGGCCCACACTGATGAATCGCAACAGCGTGAACTGGGTCCGCGGTGAGCGAGGTGGTCAGGAGGGGAGATCCTGTCCTGTCTCCGCGCTCCTCCCTCAGTCACAGGGGCAGTGCAGATGCCCCAGAGGGCCGAGCATGTGCATCCCCAGATGTGACCCGTCACTGAGGACAGAAGCCCTCACCGGAACCAGTAACATGCTTCCCAGCACCCTAGAAAAGCGCCTGATCTCGGGGAAAGCAGCAGGAAAAGAGCCCAAACCACCTACTTCCTGCCCAGCTCCCCTTCCCTTTCGTTGCCCTGGAGACGAAGCTTCTGGGGGGCCCTGTGGGCAGTGCCAGTGTTAAGTGCCAGGCCTCCATCGCTGGGATCACTTGTTGGGCTCCCGCCATGCTGCCTGAGGGTTTGGCGTTTGGGGAGCAGCTGTGCTCTGCCACCAGGGCTGGCAGCCGGGTCCCCTGCAAACCATTTTTGCTTTGGGGGTTACACCCGGTGTTCTTTGAGGTTACTCCTCATTCAGTGCTCAGGCTGCTCCAGGTGGTGCCGGGGCCCAAACCTGGGGCCCCTTATGTGGAGCCTGAGCCCAGTCCTGTGACCCCCCCCCCCCAACCCCAGGGTCCTGCAGACACTTGAAACTGAGGCACCACAGACGGACAGTGACTCCTGGCGCCTCTGTGTCTGCTGAGCAGGACACATCTGGGTAGCACCCCAGGGCCTCAGTGCACCCCCTCCCTGGGTCCCTCAGCCCCTGGGCCTGAGTCTGCTGACGTGGCACTGTTTGGGGGGTGGTAGATTGTCTCCCCCTTCTCTGACATGGCCTTGCCCTGCCCTGGTTGCCACTTTGCCATTGCTCGTGGTGGAGGGGGACCAGGTGGACCCCCAGGGGTACTTGGCACCCCCTGAGGCACTCTGGCCTCTTGCCTGGCTATGTCCGGGTTTGACTGTCCAGACTGCAAGGGGGGCCTGGCCCTTCCTCTCCTGGTGGCATGAAGTCGCACCCCTTTCTCAGCCCTGGGCCCCTGGGGGTGTGCCGGGGGAACTGGAAGCTTCTATCTTGGGCTGTTGGCCAGGTCAGGGGGCAGGTGTGGGGGACCTGGTGGGGTGGGGTGGGGGTGAGGCTGGCCATGAACACACCCACACTGGGGGATAGGTCCCAGCCCCTCCCCCAGACACCGAGGCATGCCTGGTGCTGCCCCCGAATCCCCCCACCAACCTCCAAGAGTTGAGGTTTCTCAGTCACTGTACCACAGCATGGAGGCCACTGATGCAAGTTCCAACCAGAACTTCTGGAGTCTCCTTCCCCACGCCATCGAAAGTGGGTCCTGGTTGTGGAGCTTCCCGGGAACCCTGGCACCTTGTAAGTGGGCTAGAGAGACAGTCGAGGGGTTAAAGTGCGTGGCTTGCACCTAACCAATCTCAGTTTGATCCCTGGTACTACATGGTTCCCTGAGCACCCCCAGGAGTGACTCCTGAGCACTGCTGGGAGTGCCCCTAAACCTTCAAACAAAACAAACACAGTTGAGAAGTATTCTAGGGGTCTGGGAGAATGCGCTCTCGGCAGTGCTGATTTATATGTGGGGGCCCAGGGTTCATTCCTGCACTGCGCGGTGCCAGCAAACAAAAAAGTGTTCAAGGAAGAATATACAGATGAAAAAATGAGGCAGAGAAGCAGCTGAGACGAGAAAAGATGGATGTGAGGAGAGTGCCGTGCTGGCCTTGCTTACTGCTGACCTGGCTTCCGTCCCTGGCACCCTAATAGTCCCCTGCGTCCTGCCAGAAATGATCCAGGAGTGCAGAGCCAGGAGTAAGCCCTGGGCACTGCTGGTGTTGCCCAGAATAAAAAAAAAGATGAAGGAGAGAGATATTGAGTGATGACACTGGTGGGTGACATCCAGGACTGGTACTTCCTCTTGAGAGCATTGGGGAGCCATAGAAAATTTGTTTTGGGGACACACCGCAAAGTAATTAGGGGCTCAGCTCCTTTCTCGGGGTGACTCCTAGTGGTACTCAGGAATCACCAACCAAGGCTGGCATGCACCCAGCTTGTTGAGCTGAATCTCCAGCCAAATGCTTTCCTGATGCTGCTCAGTCCTCACTACTGTTGGTGTGCAGGAGACGGAGCATCAAACCCTAGGGCTCCTACTTGCAAAACCTGCACTCCAATCCTTTAGCTATCTCTCTAGACCCCAAAATAGTTTTTCTTTTTTGTCTCTTGGGCCTTACCCGGCAGTGCTCAGGGCTTGCTCCTGGCTGTACTCGGGATCACACGAGACGCCATGGAGTGAACCTGGGTCGGCTGGCTACAAGGCAAACATCCTTCCCACTGTACTTTTGCTCTGGCCCCATTCAGCATAGTTTTTGAAGTATTATTTGACTGAGTTATATTTATGCTTAAAAAGAAAGAAGGGGGCTGGAGAAAATAGTACAGCAGGTAGGAAGCTTGCCTTGCATACGGTTGACAAGGGTTTGATCTCCCCTAAGCATCACCAGGAGTGATCTCTGAGCACAGAGCCAGGAGGGAGCCCTGAGTAGAGCCGGGTGTGGGGTCCTCTGCCCTCCAATAATAAAGCATTGAAGGAAGGATAGAAGGAAGAGGCGGGCTGCAACGGGTGCCTCCGATATGAGAGGCTAGCGACAGATGAGGGGAGAGGCAGAAGAGATAGCACACGCTTTGCATGCAGGAGGCAGGGGTTCAATCCCCGCATTGCACATACTGTGCCACCATTTGT